CTGGGGGGGCCGGGGGTGCTGGGGGCGGCGGCGCGGCGCAGTCCTTCCTGAGGCCGCCGGGGACCGTGCAGTCGGCCGCGCTCATGGCCACGCACCAGCCGCTGTCGCTGAGCCGGACCACGGCCACAATCGCGCCCATCCTGAGCGTGCCGCTCTCTGGACAGTTCTTGCAGCCAGCTGCCTCGGCCGCCGCTGCTGCCGCCGCCGCCGCGCAAGCCAAATGGCCTGCGCAATAGGGACGCGCAGGTGGCCGGGACACAGGGCCCGGCGGCGGCCCCGGGCGACGGCTGCATTAACAGGCTGCGAGCTCTGCCCCGGTCCCGGCCCCCCTGCCCAATCTTGGACTCTTGCTCCCCTGTTTCCTCCCCAGCCCCCCCACGATCTCCAACCCCAACCTTTGGCGGCTTCCACCCCCTCGTTCACACCTAGACTGGCGGAGTAAATTCTCACCGCGCGTCCGCCGGGAATAGCTTTTCGTACAGGTAAAACTGAAAAGTGAATTTTCCAAAAATATACCCCAACGGAACCTCCTCTCAGTACCTTGGGGGTGGGAGGGAAATCCTTTGTACATATTTGTATAAAAAGTATTGACTTTCCTTTTGGGGTTTTTATTTTTTTAAGAAAAAAACAAATTCAGTAGATTTAGAGCTCTGAACTTTCTTTTTTTTTGAAGGTTCACTCTCCGCAGTTTTATCTGAGAAAAAAAAATGTATGGAGACGTTGGGAAGTTTTAAATACAAAAACAAATTTTCAAAAAGACGAAAAAAGTGTCATTCTATTACAGAAGTCTGTTTATATATGAATGAATATATATGGTATTCTAAATGTTGTTCCATCGTGTTGTACACAACTTTGTAAATAAATTTTTAAAATGCTCAGCCTAGTGTTTTATTTAGGTGACTGAGGTAAAGAACAAGATTTTAAAATAGTATTTTCCCTTTCCCAGAAAATGAGGAATTTCCAGTAACGACCTTTTCAAACTTTGCTAATTCATAATTTGAGTGTAAAAAAAATTTAATTGGAGAAAGGGAAGAGTCTACCTAATTTAAATCTTATTAAAAATTTCCTTGTAGCTTTCACATAAAATCAGCATGTGGACGATGATCTTCATATTAACCTACTACATTTAAATGACCAGACGTTCTGTAGATAAAATGAGTAAGGTGTCATTAAAAATACAACCTAATTCAAAACAAGAGTACAGTCTTTTAATTTTTTTAAAAGACCAGACTTGAATCTTTCACAATGAAAACTTCCAAAAGGAGTTACTGATCTTTTTAATTATCCTTTCAAAAGAATGTAAATTCCTAACATCCCTCAGTTTAGCATTTAAATTTTAGATTCTTAAAATTGTTTCTTCTCATCCTTTCAAGTGGTAAATTAACCCAGTTGATTTTTAAATTTTACATTATTGCATGCTAACTTTTGCAGTGGGGTTGTATTATCTATAGTAACCTGACAGATAATACATAGTGATTTTATTCTTTCATAATATTTTAAATAACGTACCACTTTTCTGTGACAATAATCCATACATAATTGGATTACTGAAGGATTCCAGTAGATGCCTCCCCTACCTCCAACACGCTGTCTTTCTGATGGGTACAAGGAATGGTGTGGCTTTAATACCCTTTTAAAAACATGTGCATCCCTGTCCCCTATTTTTTAACGTTAAGCTAGGTTAGTGTGAAATGTGAGATCATAGGGCAGGAGTGGTAAATGTCCTCCTAGAATGTTCTTAACATGCCTTTCGGTTGTCTCAACACTGAAAAAAAAAAAAAAAAAAAAAGAATATTCTGGTAGAAATGAAATGTCTAGGCTCCGAAGGCCGGTTCCCACCATCACCAACATCGCCTCAAATGGCATCAATTCTAATTATTTTGTAATTAATTTAGCTGTTACAATTACTTACGCGAAGTCGCTTTTTCAAATTGAAGCGAGTTAGCAGTACTGTTAGCTCGGCCCCGTGTGCTTCCTGTTTGCAAAACACCAGGAGACCCTGGCGCGGGTGTCCACCTCGCCTCCTTGGTTGCGAGATGCCTTTGGGCCGCGATCCCAGCCTTATTTCTCTGCTGTGGGCGTGGGCTAGGAGGCTGCTTTGAAAGACATTTCCTCGCAAATACAGAATCTGTTTTCCTGGTAAACGGTAAACATTATCGTGTCCTAAGTAAACATTCCTTTGGGATCAGAGTCCTAAAATAAAACAAGCTGCTGGGAGTGAGATAGTTTAAGTTGATAAACAAGAATCTGATAATCATCCTACACCGAGAGGAGCAACAGTAATCTTTACTGAGAAGAGAGTATGGACCACACGGTCTCTGGGCGGGTCCCTTCTAATCTCCTTTTACAAGGAAAACTTAAACGGATCTAAATTTGTTTGTGTGTTGCAGCTATAAAAGTAACAAGTTGTTTCACAGTTGTGTCTGGCTAATCGGTTTTTACACAAACAGCAAATGGTACATGATTTGTGCAAACACATAGAGGTTATTTCTAAATTTAGCTGACACCCCTGGGAAAAGGGAAAGGCAGGGCTTCTTGAATTCACTTTTAGCCTCAAGAAGCTGCTGATCCAAGGCTTCTAAATGACACTGGATAACAGGGGCCTCATTCCATCCCTGATCCTTTGTTACTTATAAAATTACTCGCTCATATTTCCGCGCATAGCAGCAATACCGACCGAGCCTGCGCCCGCAGCGTGACACGGCCACAGGCTGCCGCTTGCAATCGGCGGGGCTTTTTCCAACGATATAGGCGGCAGTGTGTAGAGCAGGAGAGATCCGTCGGCAACTTTCCTTGCAGCCAGTTCTTACCCTTGAACTAAAGCCTAGAGGAAGTCCCCTCCCTTTTATTTTTTGGAGGATAGGAGACCCTCAGACCCAGAACTCCAACCGGTCAACAATTGTTTAAAGTTCCGGCAAATGTCAGGGCGATAGGCCTGGCCATAACCCCCTGAAAAGCTCTTTTTGGTTCAAGCTTGTTTATCCACCAAGGTTTAGAACACAAGAGGAAATGCAAATATTGTAGATAATGAACGCAAGCACTGGGGGGTAAGCTTGAAACCCAATTTTGATGTCATCGATCGCGGGCATCAGCGACGAAAGGCATTGGAATCTGCTCTTGCATTGAGAGTTAAACGCCAAGCCAACACGACTGATATCCCGTTTTTGTTTTTGTTTTTCCATTTAAGAAAAGAAACTAGAAGAAAGGGAGCAGATTTATTTGCAATAAAAATAGGAAGCGGGTTGATTTGTATGAGGAGGATTGTAGCTTTCGGCTATACACGAATTTAAACCGCTTTCCATTTCCTCCGGCAACCATTTCTAGAAAGTCATTCCAGTCCTGAGGCCTGTGGCCCCTACAGTGTACTCAGGATAGAGTCCCTGAGTGGGGCCCCGGCGCCCAGCTCCTCCGGGAATGGAGAGTGAATCAAGAAGTCCAGGGAAATGAGTACGAAGACTAGAGCACTGTATACGTAGGGGCTGTGCCGGGCTCTTGCTGCGATGGCGGATTGTGGCCTGTAGGGGGCGACCAGCAGGTGGAAAACTTTCCCGTTTGTCTCAGAGGGTCCAGCCCCAGCTCTCGGAGATTTTTCATTCCATCTCAAGCTCTGAGTACCCTGACACTCTTGCTCATCCTCCGGGGTCAGTACGCCCAGGTTGAATCTCTGAGAAGCCACTTTCCCTGACCTGCCTCCTGGAAGGGACAGAGTCCCGGGGGGAGTTTGTCTTAAAGACTGGGAAGCAATAAAGTTTAGTGATGAGAAGACATCGACTTGGAAGCAATTAAGAGTTATATTTGAGGTTATTTATTTTTACATGGGCTTTGGTAGTGACGACAACATGAAAAGCTGGTGTGTGTGTGCACTTGTGTGTTTTAATATGGGTCCCTTGCACTGTCCTGAAGTGAACGTGATCTGAAAGAAAGCTGCTGGTTCCAGAGCCACGTGTCCATTCGCCTATCCGACTACACCTGTGTCAGCGATGACAAACTGCAGTATAGTGAATGGGCTCATCCTGCGGGCAGGAGGAGGAAGGGCTTTCTGAGAGTGCCTAGGCTGGACCTTGAGGGAATTGTCTATCTCCTGGGAGGGGATGGCAAGAAGCAGTGAAATGAGAGAGGCCTTACAGAGGGGTTCTCAATCAGAGATCAGGCTTTTCCTGATTGTGACCTTGAACAAACTGCTTAATTTCTTTGAGTCTCTCCATTTCCTTGACTCTATAACGAAAAGGAGGAATCTGCTTGTCTCTTGAGCTTGCAGGTGAACTGGTGTCAGTGAAAGACGTCTTACCAACTGTAAAGAGCTGTGGGTATGTAAGGAGTTTATTTTATTGACCTCTGGACAAAGACACAACTCTGTTTCAAGAACCTTCAGTTCATGACTGTTTTCGACGACTCTATTTTTGGTGTGAAGAATGGGTTTTTCTAAGGATGGAGCAAAAGAAGACTGGCCAGAGGGGTTTCTTAACGGTGGAGCTTCCTCCTGGTCCTTGGTCTTCAGTCCTTTGGCCACGCCGTGAACCTGAGAAGGTTGGAGGTGCTCACTCAGCTCCAGAGGCCGGGCATATCTGTCTCCGGCTGAGCTGTCTTCTTTGCTGTTTGCCCCTCTGCTTCCACTATCCGAGGCAAGTGGGGAAACCTGAGCTCTCCGCTGACAGACGCCCATTAGCGCAAGATGCGGCCTCAGAGGCGATTTAAAGGTAACCAGATCCCAAACCTCCATCCGCCACCTTCCAACAGTTGGCAGAGTTAAACCCAGAGCCAACTTCTCTCTTAAACCTCGTCCCCCTCTTCCCTTTGCCCTCTTAGGAATGAGAAAGCCATTTTTTGCTCGCTGGGGCAAAACCAGCCAAGGGGTAAGGGGCGGGTGTGCAGAAAAAAATTTGAGAAGAAATGTTGCGAAATCTTCTAGGGCTACTTAAGGAAGCATAATGACCTCATTTTAGTTTCCCAGGGAGGTGTCTTACATCAGAATTTTTCAAAATAAAAAACTAAATTAGTCCCCTCCCTCATTTTAATATAAAACTCGTACCAAAAGCCCTTCCTGTCCAGATGATTCAGGCTTGTGCACACAGCACCATCTCGTCACTGGGGAGGTGGGAGCGGAGGAGGACACCTTCAGTCTGTTGTCTGAGTCCCCAGGGGGAGAATTCTGGATGCATCTTCAGAAAACAATCCTGGAGTGTCGGCATGAGAAGTCGCCTCGGGCTCATCCTCCCCCTCTTTTCACATAGACTCA